CTTAAATTTCCACTACAAAGAAAATTGATAAGCGAATACAAAAATCAGGTTCTTTCCTTCCCAGCCTTTGTATTTTTTATTTCAAGAGAAATATGTGAACAAGATCATTAGGATTTTTTTTTTACGGGTTTTACTTTGAGTAAATCTAGTTTTTTAAAAAATTAATACAGCTCAATTATGGTTTCTGTTAATGAATATTTATTCTCCTGTGCAAAAATGCTTATCCAAATTTACCAACCTTTTTTGGTTTTTTTTTTTTGAGAGAGAACTAAATTTTCCGTTAGGATGAATATCAACACAACATAAGGAGTATAATAAGTGTTAGCAAGAGAGAGTACAAAGAACAAAAATAAAAATAACCAGTTCTAAAACATACCTACTTGTCAGAGCACCAGCAAAAATTTTCATCACTGGAAATTTGTCCTAGTTGAATTCCTAATTAGATTATGATTATTTTGTGTTTAATTACTGCCGCTTCCGCTTTTTTTTCGATGGGTAAAATTTCAACCTTCACCTGCGACGCTAATAATTGAATTTTTTGTTACAAAAAAATTGAAGATGGACGCAACTAAAAGTCAGACCTAAGAAATTACATTCTAATTGTACATGGTAAGAGTAAGATGAGAACGAAAGCTAAGAATTAAATAGAAAACAAATCAACGAAACCTTTGAACCAGAACTCAAAACACTCGGAGCAAATAAAAACCACTATTGATTCTGCTCCAGTTATGGCATGCTCTTCACTCAATTTAGACTTCTTAAAGCAGTTCCAGTTTTGGTAACTCAACATCGCATGTTAAATGAAGATATTCGTGCCAGTCGAAAGTTACAATTTTAAGGTCTCGGTTTTCCAATTTAATCAATACTGTAAAAGCTCCAGAGAATTCCTCTTTGTTAATTTCCTGCATTTTGCTAGAAAGCTCTTGATTGGTAAGAACCCAGGTAAAAAGAGGGTGTCATAGCGCGTAACTGTTTAAAGCAAAACTAGGAAACTTTGAAATTGAAACCCAGTAGTAATATAGGGAGAGGCGTACAGCTTAATTTAGGCCTTTTTAGCAATATTTATTGTGTATTAACTGAGATTGCTTTCTCTAAATAGTCTATAAAAGCTCCATACGGATCAGGATAATATGACACTTTCATCAGTACATCAAAATAAGATGGTAGAGAAAAATAGTCCTCAAACTCTAGCTTCTGGTGCTGATTGAAAACTAGGAAAATTACAACTATTAGTGAAAAGATGACTATTTTTCTATTCACGTGCTGGTCACTCTGCTAGCACTGCCAGTCTGATCAAACTAAATTACAGCTTTAGAATGTTCAAGTTTGTTAATGAATCCAAACTGTCTGCTAAAAAGATAACAATGCTTTCTTTATTGATCTAATGTATCCTGTCCTAACAATTTAAGGAGAAAAGTTTGCCTCACCTTGTTTAGGATTTCTCTTCATCGGATTGAAGAGCATGGTGGTCCGGGACGGAATCCACAAAAAACTCCTCCACTGGAGGAATATATTTCAATC